TTTATAACTAGATACTCTATCAAGGACTATACCATTAAGCTGAATCGGTGTTATAACAGTGGGTTGATACTTCCAAAAAATTGATAACCATATATTTACATTTTTTCTCATTAAGCCACATGTTACGCATGAAAGCATAGGTGTTAATATTTACAGCAATAAATGGAAGGTAGCTAGGTAAATATCGCGGAATAGATTTCAATACCGAGGTGTCATCAACGTATTTAATCCTATATCTCCACTCCCTACACAGATTGTTCACTAATATGGCATACAGCAATGGCACAAGTTTTGTTCGTTGTGGTATTCCCTCATTCAGTGTAACTGGATGCGAATAAACCTGACCGATTCACAGTCTTTGTAAACGGTCCATTAAAACGAGCCGATCCATCTGATAGCAGCCTCATGCACACCCAGCAGCTCCATTTCTTGGATAAGGATATTGTGATCGACTAAATCAAAACCTTTACTGAAATCATTAAAGAAGATGCATGCATAAGCGTCACCTTGGTCAAGGGCCTTAAGGATGACTTCGAGGAAGAAAACAAGAATGTGGGTTGTGGACTTCCCAGCCAGGGAAAACTGGTGGTTGTCGAGCTTGTCACAGACTTGCATGAAGAGGGAATCCAGCGTAAGCCCTTCCATGACCTTTGCAATATGGGGCGCGAGAGAAATAGGCTGAAGATCCTGTTCAACTACTTTGGGTGGCAAACATTTTGGTACAGGGAAAACCTCAGATTGCTTAAGAGGTACAGGAACGTATCCTTGTACCATAGAGGCATTATAAAAATTAGTGATGACTGATGAAAGTTCAAAAGCAAATTCTTTCCAGACTTTCCCCGGGATGGGATCAGGCCCCCCTTATTTGTTTGATTTAATGCCTCTCAGGGCCTTGTATACCATACGTGTGTCAACCAGCAGGTGATCAGGGACCGGGAAAAATGAACCAGGGATAATCTGAGACAACGGTACAAAGTCAGCAGTAAGACCAGCCAAGAAAATGTTAAAGCTGTTAGCCAGCACCTCATTGGACTCTAAGTGATCTCCAAGCATTTGCTGCACCCAACGTTCGGAACACCGCAGCCCAGTAAGGCCTTTGATTTCTTTCCACCACCGCCTAACGTTGGTTTGTTTAACTTTCCAGTCATAAAAGCACTTTTTACAGTTCTCACACACCTTTTGTACCGCATTACATGCCTCCTTATATGCTGGGGAGTCCTTTCCAAACTTGAGAAGTTTTTGACGTTTTGCTGTCAATGACTTGATTTTCCCAGTTATCCATGGTTTATCCGATGCATAGACGTAAGTTTTTTCTATCGGCAGAAACTTATCAAGAGCATCCTTGAGAGTATTAATAAAGATGTCAAATTTCTCATTGACAAGGGTAGTACTAATGACATCATCTCATGACTGTTGCATAATCCACTGACCAAAGTCCGTATCCTGCTAGCCCTTAAATCACACCTTCTGACAGCTATTTTTGTGTTCTTAGATGTCGAGGAGGACTGCTGCGGTGAATCAAAACAGTATAGTGGTCGGTAGATCCCAGCTTAGCTTCGGGTGGTTAGTCAAACACCAATCAAGGGTTCCTGAGTCTCTAGTATTAACCTTGACAATCTGACTTAACCCAGTCGCACGCTTAACAGCTAGTTCAGTTATGCATGTACTTGTAGGGTTGAAATTACCACAAATAAAAATCAAACCTTCAGGTTGGTCGCAAAGTTAAGACTCTACGTTATCCTGGATATGTTGCAAGAGGCGTTGATTGTCCTCAACAGTGCTAGAAGGCGGGTGGTAGACAGTTCCAACCAAAATCATAGATACCTGTCTTGGAAGATGCAGTGGTCGAGCTTTAACCCACATTAATTCAACTTCAGACGACTCAAAAGCACGGAGACAGGAATATGGAATTTCCGCATCAACAAAAATGCAGACACCCCCCGCATGGGTCGGCCTATCCCGTCTCAACAAGATGTAATTCGAAAAGTGAACATCTGAATCTGGAACAACAGGGCTAAGCCATGTCTCTGGGATACTGACAAAGCCAGGCAGATTAACACCAACAACGCCTTGTAACTCAATCATCTTGGACACCAGGGAGCGAGTATTGGAGTAGAGTATTGTTGGAATCCTAGCAACACCAGGGTCTGTAGGACCTGGAAACAATCACACCGGTTGTGATCTGCCTGTTGGAGAGTCAAGTGGGATTCCTGTGGGACAGGCCAACACAGGGTGCACACCTTGCAATGAAGTGGCTTCCTCTTGCTTTTTCATTGACCCACCACGTTTTCCACGAAATGACTTCCTTATTCCAGTTTCTTTAAGTTTTTACTATAGCTCAGGAGCCAATCACTGCTTGTGTGACACTTTCCTAAAAGACAGGAGCTCTGAAGCGCTGTAACAAATTCTATCAATTGATGAAATCGGTGTTGATCCAAGATGGCAACTCGATGTTGGCCATCAATTGGCTGTGTAGCATGCCTGGGAAACTTGAGCTGGGCGATAGTAGAATCCGGTATATAAGTAGCCAACAACCAAGATAATGATGTTAGGTAGCATTGCAAGATAAACTACAGGTCCAGTAAGAACCATAAAGTTAACAACACACTAATTTAGACAGAGCACAAACAAACACAACTAGCAGCCATTGGCGCCGCTGACCTCTCAAAAGGTTGACATGAAAGAAATGAACAACCAAGTGGATAAACAACCTAAGCGGTGGAGAAAGAATTTGAAAAAATTCAGGCTTGACCAGGAATCGAACCCCAACCTTTGCAATTACCACATGCAACGTAATGACACTTCTCACCTTTCGTTAAATGTCATTGCTTAGTGGTTTTCCACTTTGCAGTTGTTAGCTGATTTTGCAAATTATGCGTATCTTTAAGACAGCTCAAAGCACAAGGTACCCTGACAAGAGCTTAGCACATTTACCAAAGGATAATAACCTGATATCCAGCATGGCTTCTGCAAATCTCATTCGTGTGAAACCCAACTGCTCATAACCCTCAAAGACCTTGGTAGAAACCTTGATCATGGCAAGCAAAGCAATATCATCTTGCTAGACTTTGCTGAAGCTTTTGATACTGTCCCACACCAATGCCTCCTACTCAAGCTAAGCCACTACGGCATACAGGGCACAATCAACAAGTGGATTCAAGCTTGCTTGGCCCCTTAATGTTCCTCATCTACATTAACGACATAGGTGTAAATATAAAATCTCACATTCAGGTTTTTGAGGACGACATGCTCTTATAAGCAACCGTGAGCAGTAAACGTGACGCCAATACCTTGCAGCAAAACCTTGACAGCCTGGTGGCCTGGACCAAATTATGGCAAATGTCCTTCAATTGTGACAAATGAAAGATCCCAAGGGTCTATTGGAGGAGAAACCCAATCATTCATCAGTATTCAATGAATAGAACTCCTTTGGACTCTGTATCTCAACATCCTTACTTGGGAGTCGAGCTGTCCTCCAATTTGAATTGGAGTTTTCATATAGAAAACATTATAGGGAAGGCTAACCGGGCCCTTGGTTTCATCAGATGTAATCTTTATTCCTGTCCAGAGAATGTTCAAAGTCAGGCCTACATTACCCTCATTCGTCCTTGTCTGGAATACGCCTGTAGCGGTGGGACCCACATACTCAAAAGCATTGCCACAATATTGAAGGAGTACAGTGGCGAGCCGCCAGATTTGTAAAAAAACTGCAATGTGCAACAACCCGGTACAGTCACTAATCTCCTGAACGATTTGAACTGACCCTCAATAGAACTGAGGCGAAAATTGCACAACTCACCACCATGCACAAAATGGTGAACAATAAAATCAGGGTCAATATTCTGGAATACATTGCACGCCAAACCCATGTTACACGCTCTTAAAATAGCAGCAAGTTTATAAACATCTGTAGTAGCAGCAATACCAATAAGTACAATTTTTATACTAGAACTCTGAAAGAATGGAACAGTTTACTGCCTTTTTTATTAGATCAGATTTCCGTGGAGGCATTTAAATCTGCTCTCACTAATTATTTCAATCTCTCATATTGATTTTACACATCATTTCATTTTACTGTTTATTATTATTATTATTTATTTACTTGTTTTTTGTTTTTGTTTTGCAAATTCACAGTGGTGGGAGACCTTAAATAAAAGAAGGTACAGCTTTACGCTTTGCCCAAATTCATGAATATGACAGTAAGGCTAGGCATTTTGCTAAAGCTAATATGCTTATTGGGAAAGAGCTATTCGCACATAAGAATCAATGCTTTAATGGTGCAGTTGATGCTATACGGCACTGCAATACCCGAGTTTCTCCTCGTGCTTCTGAACATTATTTTAAATTGAACAAAACTGAGCAAGATACAATGAGCATGAACCCAGGGAACCACAGTCTGATGCTACAGTAGCCAGATTCCTTAGTAATAGAGAGCCTCCATTGCCAGTCTCACTGGCACTACCATTCCTTGCAAAAACCAGACAGAAAACTTAACGTAGACTTCCTGTACAGATTAGGACTATCCATTTTATGTGGCCAAGTGATGTGCAAATTTAATCAGTTCAAGGAAACTGTCTGAGCTCAATCTGAAATTGATGCGTTGTGTGTCCCTCAAAGTTAGAGTCACTGTTTACTACTGGTAGAAAGGAAAACATAAATAGGACCAGAAACCAAAATTCCTTAAAGCTAAGGATTCACCATCGACAGAAATTGTTGATTTATCTTTGTCTGCATGCAACGAAGTGTAATGAAACAAAAAATAAATGATTTCTTGAATTCCCAAACACGTGCATTTGCCCGCAGTATGTTTTAAGAGCGGGTACGAGATCATGTGAAGAAGGTGCAATGTGTAAAGTAGCAAGGATATATATGCTGAACAGTAAACAAAGTTTCATTGTGGCTTTTCAATTCTACAGGATAGTTAAACTTATCTGTTTTGTCCACATGGTTCAGGGCCATCATGGTCACCCTGGTACAGTTCGATCTCGTGTTTCAAGAGTCAACATGGACATTCAAGGCCCTATTGTCCGCCCGTCCAAACAAGAGAACGTTGCAGTTCAGACTGTTGTAGCTCTCGTTCACATGATGCAGCTTCTAGTGGTTCTGGCCATAGTTCTTTCCCCTTGAGAGGAAGAGTCGGGGAACGTTCGCACCGTAGAAGTCGTGCTGCCTCTTGCAACCCTGAGCCCCCAACTTTGGCTAAGGAAATTTTAAAGGCCCTACAGGCGAAAACAGAGGAGGTCAAAGTTGTCAAAGAAGTGCTCGACTCGCTAAGACACAAGTCTGTAGAGGAGAAGCCTGACTTCAAATATAAGAGTAACAAGAAGCAGTTCAAGTTCACCACTGAGGTTAAAAACAAGTTTAATCAGATTTTAGACAGAGCTGGGGCTGATGACATGATCACTGATAACCGAAATAAGCTTATTTCTATTGCTGATCGGGATGGCTGGGAGTAGTAAAATATTCTCAAAGGGAGGCATTAAAAATGACTGGGAAGGAAAGAAACTTTATGTTCGCAAAAAGAAGCAAAGAGATATCGGGAGATACAAAATTGGAACAATAGCCTGGGAAGAACTCATTTTAAGTCTCAGTCAACTTCTCGCAAAAGCAGCCCCAGTGTAAATTTTGGCCAGTCACATAGAATTGTGGATTTTCACCTGGATGTCGGTCAGCATTTGCTTAATCCTGCACCACAAAAAAAAAGCTGCTGTGTATCGCTGTTTTGGTTGTGGCAAAGCAAGCCACTTCATCAAGGAGTGTAAAAGTTACCTCTTCTGCTAAATGACTAGCTGACTCGGACTTTAATGAGTTTTCAGAACCCGGGAAGGCTGAACTTGACACAAGTGTTTCTTCGGTTTCTTGGATTAGAGGCCATTTTGCAGGTTTGGTATTCTATTGCGGCCTCTTTCTTTATTCCTAGCATTATTGAAAGTCGTTATAAGCTACCTTTTGTTTCAATTCCAGTGAAGAGTTTCTTTAGTAATCATAAAAGCACTCTTGATAATAGAGCTTTTGTCTGTGAGGCTATCAAGCAATTGTTGTTGACGGGTAGCGCAGTGGAAGTCAAACCTGACCAAACTCATGTTTGCAACCCCTTAGGTGTAGTTCCTAAAAAGTATGGCAAACTTCCATTGATTCTTGACCTTCGCTTTCTTAACAAGCACCTAGTCAAGCATAGGTTTAAGTTTAAGGACCTTTGCGTTGCCCCGGATATTCTTCAACCAGATGATTGTTTTTTTTACTTTTGCAAATCGCAACCAGTTCGAGGCGATCTTGATTGCCTTGGCCTTCTAGTGAATGAAGAAAAGAGCAATTTTGAACCGCATGAAAAGGGAGAGCACCAGGATTTTCATTTGGACCTTGCCAAAGGAGAATTTAGTATCCCACCAGGCAAGATTGATCACCCGCTTAATCTGATTTCACTGCTTCTTGACAATGTTTCACTCTCGTATCACGTGTCATGTATTACAGGTACCCTTATTTCCATGGAGCGCATATGGGGTCCAGTTGTTTGTTTGCACACCCCAGCCTTGTAGGCAGTCCTTAAGAGCACTTATAGCCTTTGTTACCAGGTGGCTTTAACATGCGATGCTGTAGAGAACTTAATTTTTGGAGAGATAATTTCGCCCGTTTGTGCAGCAAACCAATCTGGAAGCCTTCCTTAAAGATAGAGCTTTCGTTTTATTCTGATGCCAGCAATGTGAGTTGGGCAGGGTTTATCATTCAATTTGGTACACACATCGCCAGAGGAAATTGGTTGGGTTCCGAGGCCCTGTGCAGGTCTTCTTTCCCTGGGATTCGTGCAATTAGATTCGTTCTTCAGTCATTGTCTATTGGCGGGAAAAGAATGCAAGCATAGGTCTGACAATCAGTGTCTGCAGCATTTTGTCCGTCGCCAGTAGTAAGCCCCATTTGCAAAAAGAAGCAGTTGCTATTTACAATTTGTGCCACAAAGCAGGTATTCACTTTTCAGCAGAGTGGATACCCCGTTACTCTAATGTCAAAGCTGATTATTGGTCAAAAATTGTCAACACAGATGATTGGATATTCTGCAGGGACCCAACATCGTGGACTGTTTTGCTAGTTAAAATTTTTTCCAGTTGCCCAGGTTTTGTTCTTGATGGTGGTGTCTTGGGACCGAACCTATTGACGCTTTTAATGTCAGCTGGGGAGGGGATTACAAGTGATTGGTTCCCCCAGTGTTCCTTATTCTCAGGGTTATCAACCACATGAAACTGGGTAAAGAACAGGGCACTCTAGTTATCCCCTTTTGGCAATGTGCTCATTGGTGACTGTTGCTGTCTCAGAGCCCTGGGGTTTTCCACCCTTTTGTTCTTGACTGGCTGGAGATCCCTTTACACGAGGGACGTTTCTTCCTGGTTCTCCAACCGCAGATCTCTTTGTGCATGGTATTCCCTCATGTAGGGTATTTGCTTAAGAATTGCGTTTCCTTAGTTTTGCTTTAGAACACTCTGTTACGTTTTAGATAAGTACCTTGAACGAGTTGTTCAGCCTATTTTTTTGTTTTTGTTTTGTCTGAGCCTTTTTAGGCCTTTTCCCTGTGCAAGTCAGTGGACTTGGAAGTGTACAAGCACACACAAGTTGTGTAGCTGAAGTAAGCTGAAAGGGCAGTGGCAACACAGTAGTGTGTTCGTTTTAGAGTTGAGTGGACTCGTCCATCCCTGAGTGGATTTGCTTACCAGTTGATGCCAAGTGGGCCAAGCCTTCATATGTTAGCACTGGTGCTGTCTCAGCTTGCCATGTGGGCAGTTTTCCTCGCAGACGTGTATCTTGGTCAGCAGTGAGTTGACCAAGATTGACGTTGAAATTTGGGCTCCTTAAAACTTTGACCTTTTGACTAAGTTTTCCATTCAGTCTCTTCTATTATCGCATTTTAAACATAACTAAATCTGTTGCAATTCCGAGAAAAGAAAATCTGATACAGCAGAAATTGAAGCTCTATCGAAAACAATTAACCACCTTCAAGAAAAGTTGGCCAATATCCTACGTCTGGCCCAACACTAGTCCTACACCCGATGAAGGTGTTAAAAGCCTTCAATTGCTTAGTGACGGCTTTGATGACTTTAACGTGTTCCAAAAAGAAGAAAGAATGGAATTGAAGCAAATCAGTGTTGAATTGGTCAAGCTGACAATGAAAGTAGACGCCATTGGAAAAGCCATTGATTAAATCTATGAATACAGCTACAAGTTTAATGTTAAAGTCGTGGGTTACCCGAGCTTGACACAAGGGAATCTGCACAAGAAACAAGCTCCATCTGCATTAGCCTTTTAAGGGCTTTGGGTGCTGACATAACTATCAGAGATATTGACACAGCACACCATGTACCGATGAGACAAGCAAGTGGTGAGCCACGGCCCATTATTTTTAAATTTGTTTGCCGCCTTGCACAAGATGAGTTCATTGCTAGACAAAGGGAAGCTCGTAACATCAACGCTGCAAGCCTTGATGAAAATGCCGACCTATATAAGCTTGGAATCTTCGACCATCTAATGCAGAAAACCCACGAAATTTTCTATGAAGCAAAGTTCAAAACCAGAAATTAGTACCAATACTCTTGGACAAAGAATTCATCAGTCCACCTTAAGAAGAATGCAGAATACAGAGCGACCAAGGTAATGGATATTAACGTGTTGGTGCAACTCTCCAATCAAGAATCCCAATGAACTTACAAAGCTCCACTGCTATTGGCAATAAATATTTCAGGTAAAGTTTGAATGACCCATAAAACTGTAAAGTAAACCTTTAAAGAGTTGCCATATCATGGTGTAAATATTCTAAATTGCCATGGACAATTCACTAACTTATTATCTGATGCGTTACCTACGAAAAAGCATCTTGAGAAGCTTTCAAGTATTCATGATTTAGATTTGTTTTCTTTAAATGTCCAAGCAGACATAAATCCTCACTTCAATATCTTTAATCAACGCATCCTTGACCATTATTATTCTCCGCATAGCTTCAGTATTTTGAACAAACAACTTTCTTCACCAAACAAGTCTAACTTTTCTGTGTTACACAACAATGTTAGGAGTTTAAGGAGCAACCTAGAAAATCTGCAAACACATTTGCTAGACAAATTGAAATATGGTTTCAGTGTTATTGGTATTTCTGAAACAAAACTTACGGAAGAAAAGGGGTTAGATTTTAATCCTTCTATACCTGTCACTCACTTGAAAACGTTCTGACACCTCTAGCTGCTGGAGATGTTGGCATGCATTTTAAAGATTTTTTAAATTATACGGAGATAGAAAGAACGTCCAAAGAAACTTTCCAGGCCTTATGGATTGAGATTCAATTGTCTGGGCGCCCCAATATAATCTGCAGAGTTATCTATAGGCAGCATAATTCACCAAAATGCTTTCAAGATTACTTTGAAGAAACACTAGAGAGACTCTCCGCCTCAAATAAATTGGTCTTTATCATGGGTGACTTCAACATAAACCTACTCGGTGTCAAAAAATGCAATTATGTGCATAATTTTCTACTTTCATTACAAAGCTTTTCTTTTATTCCGACAATTGATAAACCAACCAGTGTCCATAACAATTCAGCTACGTTGACAATATCCTATTAAATAGATTTGATCATAATATCACCAGCAGGAATATTTTTTCCGAAGTTAGCGATCATTATTCACAATTCTGTATTCTCCACTCTGTTAAAGAACATACATATATGTATACATACACTGTACTGAACATCCCTAAAAAGGGGTCTTCAGCATCAATATAAAAATAAAATAATTAAATAAATTAAACGGATGAACAAACTATTTAAGTAACGCTCCATCCAAGAACTAGGCCGATCAAATGCATGACGCGCCCCTGGATACCAAATATTAAATTATTAACTTAATTAAAATGGAGCTCTCTGATTGGTCAAATACTCAAAAATCGTCAAAATTCGACCAATAAATTAATTTTTCCCACATTTTTTGCGATATTTTCGGTACCAGAGTCCTCTGAACCGTATATGACGAGTTTCGTTGCCATGGGAAATGGGGAACTGGGACTTCTGGCCACGTATCTTCAACGCTCTATAGCCGCCATCTTGGATGTGAGATTTTCGGAGATTGTTAGCAGTGTTTGCTTGTCTTTTTCTCGGCCGTCTGCGCAAATTACCTTGCATAAAGTAGAGTATCTGTTAAAAGCTGAAAATTTCTTTCAATTTGGAATCTTTTCACGCGTTATTTAACGCCTAAAATGCCTGCAAGGCCTTCGTGTTGCTGTCCGCAACACGCTGTATGGGGACACGTGGACGATAGCTCAAATCTCAGAGTGGCGACCACCAAGGAAATGCGTTTTTGCGGTGTAAATGTGGATGGCCGACACAACGATAGAAGAAGAAAGATTTGTTTATCCTGCAGAGACCGCATAAACCTTGAAGATACGTGCGAACAGCTTCAGGTAGGAATAATAAAGCTAGTAAATTTTACACAATGTCCATGAGTGAAAATTTAAAATGTGATTTCACAATACTTGATTTTTTTTATTTCTCTAAGATCTTTTTTTTTTAATTTATGGTTTTTTAGAGAAAAGTAGAAACTATGGCTGAGGACAACCAGAGTTCCGAAAGTATCTCGTCATGCCACTTGGCAGAAATTTCGATGTGTGATGGCGAGACACAAACAGATAGAGCAGTGTTCTGCAGTCAAGGTATCCAGGTTGGGGAGTTCCCAAACAGGCCGTATCAATCATATGAAACAAGAAAAAAGAGTGAGATCCGGACTGAACTTGTTGATAAAATCGGCGATTTGTTGAATCAGTATGTACATGGAGATAAACAGGAATTGCCCAACCTTGTTCAGGATCTTCTCCTTTCTAAGAAATGGTCAACAACATTTGGTTTACCAACTGCTGAGAACAAAGTGGATGTGACTGTCTATGATAAGGTATTGCATTCCATTCTCAAGGAGTACAAAGCCTGCAAAAATAGAGAAGAGAACAGTGCCATACGGAAACAAGGCAAAAAGCTTGCCCAAGCCATAAATATTTCAGACACATTGTCAAAGAGTACCATTGCACTTCAAGGAAGCACTCCTGATTGTTTTAAATCAAGGATGGATGCAGCTCGTAGTTTGGGGAGGGTTGTCACCTATTCTGCTGAGAGAAGGAGGCTTTTATCAATTGTTGCAAGTGACTATCCTCGGACCCTCTTGACTGCATTATTCCAATGTTCCAAGAGTACAGTCGCTGCAGCAAGAGTTCATGCTATTCTGTTTGGACGAGGAGGAGTGCCTCCTGCATCTGTAAAATTTTCACGTCGGTGTGTCTCCCAAGAGGTTCTTGATCAGTTGGCGGAATTTCTCCTAAGGGATGATGTGTCTCGGCCGTCTTCTTGTCGAAGTGTGGTAGTTGAAGGTGAGCAGTGCCCTGTAAGATACTGGCAGGATTCCATCAAAGAAGTTGTAAAGCAGTATCTGCTCGAATTTCCTAATGGTGTGAAGAGGAGCTATATCTACGCACACATTCCCAAAAATTTCAGAAGTAACACTCTGCTTGCAGGCCTCTGCAATCTTTGTGAGGACTTTGGATTTTCTAATTTTGACAAGTTAAGAGATTTAGTCCAGAAGATAGCAGCCAACTGCCCAAGCGAGAACTTGAGCAGCATTAAGAACAAGATTACGGATCTGCAACGCTACTTGAAGACAAAATTCTCTCATCAGGTATTTTTCTATTTTTTTTTTCAACCTAAAATTTCTGAAACTGGTAATGTTCCATTGTCAAATGTATTGCTCGTAAGTTTTTGTTCACCATTCACACACTGGCTGAACATTATAAATTTTAGGTTGGGAGTTGGGGTGTTACAAGGACAATTTCATGCAAGTTTAAATGCAAAATTAGCAACAACTAATTGGGTACTACACCTGCCAAAAAGTCCTGTTGATGGCCTTCTTATTTAGTGAAATTTCGGTTACAAACAGATCAAGAAAATATATGAATTAAATGCTTTTACAATAAAAGCATGCGAAAATGCTGTCGAACTCTGCTTCTTGGAGTACAAATATCCCGCGAGACGAGTACAAATATCGCACAATATCTGTACTTGTCTTACTCCCCCGACCACATGCACGAAAAATTTAAAAGCAGTAAAATTGTGGGAAGTCAAAATTCTCGTAAAAGAAAACGTCAGATAATAAATCTCTTATTAGACATTTTTGTGTGAACATGTAGTGTAGTTGTATATTTTTACTCATCATTTGTGTTTTGACTTCTTTAAAAAAGCGATACTACACACTGACCTGTCTAATAAGATATATTGCTGATAATTCTTATATTGGTTATGATGTTTTTTATATATAATTAGCTGGCTTTTATCTATTTCCTAGGTGCAGCGACACTCCAGTTGCCTTGAGCTGTGCATGAACCATGCATTCGAGTCTTGCAACCTGGACCATCCAGATAATTGCATGGAATTGACATCATTGTATGAAATTCACGCGAGCCTGTCAGCTGCCATCTCCTCTGCCCCAGCAGAAGACAAGCAAAGTTTTCAAGAGCAGCTCGAGGACATCCACAGCACCTTTTGGGACTACTTGGCACACATCCTCAGGACCAAGCACCAGGGTGACTATTACAGGTAAGGCATACTCTAATAATTGTCTTTACCTTATCTTAAGCACATATACATACAAGCACTGCAGGGCTTGGGAACTTAAATTTTAATTCTCAAGATTTCTTGTATCAACTAATGTGAATGTTTCTTTTTTTTTAGTTTTCACAGAGGGCTTTTGTCCCACCTCCCAGCATGTGTACCTATATGCTTGTGCAGTGTTTGATTGAAATTGTTTTTTTTTTTAAATTCATTTTCTTGGACCATATTTTCTATCTTTTTTTAATCATGCTGCCATCTATCCATCATCTATTTGTTGACTTATATATTTGTGTCAAATAAAACCATAAATTCAAACAAAGAAAGTTTGGGGGTGCCGTTTAACACAGAATTTACTTATAAAGATTTGTTACTTGTTTTAATTAAATATATTTTTCAACACTTTTCTCTGGAATAGGTTTATTTTAAAGAATCTTCAGCCAGGTGAAGCTGTGGTGGTAATTGATTACAAGATGAAGCTGGAACTCGGCATGCATGCAAGGGAGGTGCAAAGAGATTGGTATGGAAAACGTGGCATTTCCCTTCATGGCTTCTATGTCCTTGCCCAAGTTTCCCCAGAAGAAAAACAAGTTGATGTCCTTGATGTTTGGAGTGACGATACCAAGCAAGATGCATGGTTCACACAAAGTGCCCTTGATGTTGGTTTTGCATGGATGGAAAAGGCTTTTCCCAGCTTTCATGTGTATCTCTTTTCTGGTAAGTACTTTCTGTGAATGAGATTTGATTTTTAAAACCAATTTTGGTATCTTGGAATAAAGAAGTAGTTAACAATAATTTATAGTTAAGGGATAATAACCTCTTTGATGGGCTCTTTGGGCTAAGTTTATACTATCATGATCAAGCTTTCTCAGCTGTGAAAAGATAAAATGTTTTATGTGGGATGGGTGTCCGGTCAAAAACCCCCAAGAATGTCAGCTAGCTAGTCAGACAAATTTCGCAATAGAATTCTTCTGATGTATTGCTAAAAGGAGTGTGAATTTGTTCCATTGGTACTTTTTTATTTACAGTTTGCCTTTAAACCTATTAAAAACCTCATTAAATTTTTATCCTTTCTTCATAAAAATCCTAATTTGCTAATTGCTGCACAGAAACTAATATATTTTTTTTTTTACAATTCAAAGACTTATATACATGTACGACATACATTTTTTTGTAGATAATGGACCTCATTATCACAACACGGCCGTGCTGTTGTATCTGGCACAGGTGAATGCAGTATTCAACATAAATTTGTTAGAATACAATAACTTTGAAGCAGGAGAAGGCAAGACAGTCCTGGATACCCACTTTGCTCATGTCTCACATAAAATAGTTCGTTGGGTGCGTGTGGGAAACGACTTAGATTCAGGGGAGCAACTGGCAAATCTATTGGAGGTAAATTGAGTAACCTTAAAATGTACATGTCATTATTAAAACTTTTTTTGTAAAACTACACATCTCTTTGGGCTAGTAAAACAAACTGCAATAATTTTGTCGCATTCATCTGACAGTTAATGACCCTTATTTTTTTTGGCATTTTTAAGATAATAGTTTTGGACGTTTAAATGTTTTTTTATTTGTTTTGTTTTGTTTAATTTATTCCTCTTTACCTGGTACTTTCTACTTCGAATTGCACTGTTTGTAACAGAATTCACAATTATATAGTGTTACTTCTTTAGTTTTTTAACAAATTTTATCAAGGAATGTATTTCTGTGAAGTGTACGCAGTTTTACCTACTGTCACACACTAGATGTAGTTTTGCAGAGAACATTGTTTGTAACTGCTTCAGGTGACAATAACCTTGTTCCTTTCTCCTAGACAATGAAGAGTGTTAGATGCAAAAAACTTGTGATTGATCGGTCAAAAGCACCAGGCAAAGTTGGCACTTTTAAAGACATCTCCCTCTATGGCAGTTTCAAGTTTCCATCTAATGGCCCATATGCTGGTGGTATCATTGCACAGTCTTTGGCTGGTCAAGGAAAATGCATCAGCAAAACCAAAGCACAAGTTCAGTCGGTCTCTGTGCAAAGCTCACGATTGGCTGGAGGCACAGGTGCTACCGTGACAGAAGACATGTGGCAAGCATCAGACCAAACAGTGGAGGGATGCCGCACACAAAGTGAGCCCTACTCCGTTAAGTTCATTCAATTATCTCCAGCTACACCCGAGGAACTGGTCCTGACACCTCGTAATGAAGCTTACGCCAACTTCAAGCCTGCAAAAGGATACGTTCTTAAGAAAGGCGGAGCGAAAAAGACCACTTTTACACAGGAACAGAAAAAGATCATGATACTGTTCTATGATCGCCAAAGAACATCACAGATAAGAGCCAATCCAACCGATGTTATTGCTGCTATGAGGTCTGCTGGTGTTCCAGAGCTAAAGGAATCACAGATTAAAAGCTGGTGGAGCAGCTACCACTGCAAACAAAAACAGCTGGCAGATGATATGCTAGAGGAAGCTCGTCAACTTAGAGGACAACAGCAAGGTAGGGAATGTTTTTAAAATACATCTTATATCATAAAATGCCAATTATGAGCCCCTTTGGTTTTATTCTCCTCTTTCCAATAATGGAAAAAACAAATTGTCAGCTATAAGCCCTTCTGCATATAGATGTAATTCCTCTGTCTCTGAAGTTTGCCATATTGACTTACCAACATCCTTTCAGGACATTTGTATGGGAAATGATAACTTGCAAGCTATTAAGGTACAGTTCAAAACATCAAATTAGAGTGACTAACCGAAAAAAATGCCTTGGGTCTTAAAATCGCATTTGTCATCTTGTTTTGTAACAGTGTTTGTACACTCCTGATAAGCCCCTCCAGATATACGCCCTTCCATTTATAGTTTTAAAACCTAAAACCCCTTACAAACTTTCATAAGCCCAGGGCTCAAATGCGGCAGTTTATGGTACATAAAATAATTATTGAATATTCTGGAGAAGAAAATAACCGAATACTTTACTTATTTCTGGCTTTGTTGACTTATTTCGCAGTAGGTTGATTGGCTCCCTTTTGGTGCTAAAGATAACTAAAGCATATTTAAACAGGGTTAGAAGGGGCACATTAATTTTATAGTAGAGCTCCATAATAGAAACCACATTGGGCAGGATTCCCTTTCAACTTCAGTGATTTCCTTTCATTTCTTTTTTCATCTACAGTACCAGTACCCAACGTAGCAACAGTCCCTGTGTGCAACACAGCAACAGTCCCTGTGCCCAACACAGCAACAGTCCCTGTGCGCAACACAGCAACAGTCCCTGTGCCCAACACAGGAACAGTCCCTGTGCCCAACACAGCAACAGTCCCTGTGCGCAACACAGCAACAGTCCCTGTTCCCAACACAGCAACAGTCCCTGTTCCCAACACAGCAACAGTCCCTGTGCGCAACACAGCAACAGTCCCTGTGCCCAACACAGCAACAGTTCCTGTGCCCAACACAGCAACAGTCCCTGTGCCCAACACAGCAACGGTCCCTGTGCCCAACACAGCAACAGTGCCAGTGCCAGTATCATTTGGGGTCCTAGAATGGAGTTTAGCGGAATCGCAGTCAGACATTCAAGGCAGAACGGGCAGTAATGCTTGCGTCTTCATTGCTTTAAACATGGGCAAACTTTGTTTTAACAAAAAAATACCTTGGCCAAATGGAAACATTCTTCCTGAACCATGGCGAGCTGCCTTAAGAGAGGCCATGATCAAGGGAAATCAGATCCATGATGACCTGTTTGACCATGAAGGTGTAAATGTCACTGTAGACGAAGCGGTTTCATTGGCAGGAGAGGAATGTGGGGTGCGAGCCTTGGGACCCCAGTTGGACATTTTTGGATATAGCCCTGTGAATCAGGTGGCAAATGTGCTTATTCAAGAGGCAAATAATTCCACAAGAGCATTTATTGTTATAGTTTGTCATGAGCGTGCATTTCTTTTTGTTCTGAACTCTGATCAGTCAGCCATGCTGATCGATTCACATTGCCATGGCAACACAGGAGCAATAATTGCATGCAGTGCGAGAGGGAACATTCTGTCTCTTGTAACATGGCTGGATGCCATGATGAGGGCAAGCTGGAACTGTTCGTTAACAATCGCATCCATGACAAAAATAATATACTGACATTTTTTCCCATAATAATAGGTTGACCTCGATAAAAATGGACAACATACTGTGCATTTTATACAAGCAAACATTTATTTGTAAATATTGACAACAATCATTTACACATTGTTTCAACTACAGTTTCTTTTTTAGCCATGTAGTAAGATTTGTGTTTTATTTGAATAATCCTCGACATAAAAATGTGTTTGTTTTAAAACAACTGAATATCAAATTATTAAACAAAATGCTTATTTCAAAAATATATGACTAGTCTGTTTGAGTTATTTCTCTTCCTTAACAGGGGTTGGAATCACTTATTCAAAAATATATCACCTAAAACTTCACCAAAGAGTCAATAACACACTCTATAAAAAATGATTCAAGCATACAAAGGCTTATGAATAACTGGAACAATAATATGGATGGTTTTGGGCGTTATGTAGACCAAGTTTTATCAATATGCAAATCTAGACTGATTTGAATCAGAAGTTTCGGTCGTTTCACCTGAAAAACCGTTTGCCTCGAAATGAGAGCTGATTAGTCAGTTAGTGGGAGGAAACAACGACAGATACAGATTGACAAGTCTGAAATTTTGGCATGCCAGAAAAAAGACTGAAAGTTATACATTTTCCGAATAGTTGTGTGTTTTTACCGACTTGTGTTTCGGAAGGAAAGACTTCGTAAAGGGAAAAAACAGTTCCGAGGAAACAGGTTTTCAGGCGAAATGACCAGATTCTCCGAATGTCTACCTGTGCATGTCTCAAAGTATTGTCTAGATGAGTCTACTGACGGTACATCAGTGCAACGATCACTGCACGTATTTGATTGTACCTTAGTTCGCTCTTGTCATGAACTTCACGCAGTGTGACGGTTCTTCTTGTCAATTCCTGTTCCACTTTATGGAAATGTTCCGCTTCCACGCACACTTCTAATTCCTGTAATATTCTGTGTACCATTTGGGCATCGCCGCGCCCTTTGGCGAGCATATCCAGACAGTATATCTCGACTGTTGCTTCAGCGACACGTAGCTTTTTCGCCAACTTCTCGATGGTATCCCCTTCCGCCCATCTTTGGAAGGTTGCTTCCTTCTTTGGGAAGGTTGTAATTTTGCCATAAATTTTGAACAGGTTTTCTCTCTTGAAAGCAAAAAAATAAATCATGTTTAGCTACCATTCACCAAACTTACAAAAAGACCGCACTTTTACAAAAAAAGTGTAATTTTGTTCGCTAATAAGGAAACGTGGTTACAGTCGTGGCCTTCACTTGCTTTCTTTCACCTGAACATTCTCCGCCATCAGCAGGTCTCTTAAGGTTCCTAAAATTGAAGAAAAAGGTAAAATAAATATGCGCAAACGTCACACGACACATCTCGATGAAATTTTACTACTTACTTCCTCTCCATTGAAGTAAAAGTTCAGTAAAAGCCAGGAGTCGACAGGAGTGCGTGCTTCTTCGCTAACAAGCTCAAATGGTAGCAAACTTGAATAGAGAGGTTCTCACATCAAAGATATCGAGGTGACAAAATATGTCCAACAATAGCCGGTTATAACAACCATTGTGACAGGCTATTGTTCAAAGACAGAAATAACTCGAGAAAAATACCGTCGTCTTCAGGAGCTGAAAAAATGAATATTTGTGGCAAAGTCTGATGAAAATAAATTCGTCGGTTTATTCCTTTTTCGAATAAAAAGACTAAGTGATTGTTAAAATTAGGCTTCAAGAGTTGCAATATTCTCGCAAGAAAATAGATATCTCAACTTTTCCAAAGTCACGCGTCGGAGGATAAAAATGCAAAATGCAAGAATTCACGCCTTGTCGTGAAATTGTTTGTGAATACGCTTTTGTTAAGAACGCATCGCTAAGCGATTCACACGCCATCGTCAGAACTAACTGGAAATGGATGTTTTGTCCAAGCTTTGGCTTTACGTCTTTGGCTATCTGAACGAATCTGAATTAGTCTTCGCTGCGCAAGTATGTTTCGAGTGGTGGAAGATTATATTTAGAGGGCCCTTTATGAAGGATGTGGAATTACCGGAAGAAATAGATCTCTCTGGCTCAGGAAATTTGTACCAGTTCATTCCGTTGCGGTTGTTTACAGAGACGAGACACCTGAATTTATCTTCCACGAGCATATCGAATCGTCATTTCCAGCAAATAGCGACGGTCGCAAAGAATTTGGAAAGACTGGATATTTCTAACTGTCCCGGCTTGGACCAAATCTGCATTTTTCAGGCCAAGAAAGATTTGGACCAGCTGAGGCACGTGGATATTTCTGGGAATCACAAGTTTACGATTCTTGCTATCGCGTGCCTTTGCTCATTGGAAAATCTTCAGATGCTTTTAGCTCATGGCTTTAAGTTAACCCCAGAGCAGTTGTTGTTTCTAACAAAAACATTTTCATCAGTTTCAAGTGGAACTTTACAATTGGAAACAGAAGATGGCTTCGATGCGGCCTGCGTGATGAATACATTTGCCGAAGAACTGTTTTACGACGAACTGCTGTTTACCTAGACAGACTGAATAAACTTATTTCGTCGTTCTAAACTTCTATGTTATACGCAGTGATTTATTTGTTTCTGTTTATGCGAATGAGATAGAATTGTTTTTTCTAACAAGAACATTTCACCAATTTCAGTGTGGAACGTAACTCGAGGAAGGCTACATTCGCGGCTACTGACGTTTGACAAAAACGCCGTGTTTTCTGCTTTCCAGAAAACAGCTGAAACAGACACATAGAATCAAGTTATCATGTATTTATTCACCTAAACTGCGAAAATCAAGAGTTACATGTATACGCAGTAATTTATTTGTTTCTGTTCATACCTATACGATATGCTGTAATGAACGTTTGACGTGTAAAATCAAACAAGAGCCAGTCCTAATCGAAGTTGTGAGTGTCATGTTACCCTAAGCGCTCTCGCTGGCGACTGAAATCGACAAGAAATAACACTTCCCCGTTTCATTATCGAATGAAACTCCGCAAGCATTGAAAGTATACCTTTACTAACATTGTGTCACTTTTGAAAATCGCAAAAACAAGCACGTTTCGCTATCTATCTTGATTGAAAATTTGAATTTCGCACGCTATTTGAAAATAGCCAATCAACAGGACGGAATCGCGCGTAATTAAAAATTTGTCGCCTTTTGCTCCAACGATAGTTTTTGCAAGGCCCCCGCTGATTTTGGCCTAGTTCTTGGATGGAGCGTTACTTAATTAATTAATTTAAGAAACTATGTAGAACAATAACTAAAATCACAACGTACTTGACCAATAACAACAATAACCAGAGTATA